CAATAGGGCCATTCTCTTGCACTACACCAAACATAGTGGCGTTGGGGAATGTTGGAGCGTTGTCGTTAATGTCCTTCACCACCACCGTCACCAGCGTCTGGATCGTGTGCACTCGTCCGCCTCTCCCTAGACCCTCCAACATCCCTCCTGACGAAGCTGTCCCATTGTATGTGTCAATATTGCTGGCGTACACGTCGAAGTTCTCACACACTCCGTCGTCCTCCTCTTCAGCAGTCAGGATCCTCTCGAATTCCGTATTGGCGAATAGAGGAGAATCTATTGTTCTTTTTCTCCTGATGGTGCCCTGGTGGTTGTTGTTCCTGAAGGTGTTGATGATGTTCCCCCTTCTTGAGTGACGGGCCTGGTGGTGGGTACTCCATATACTGTGGTGGCTGTGGTTGATGTCAGTGTGTGTTGTGACGAAGGTGCTGGGGTACTGAGGCAGGTGTTGAGCTGGCCTGTAGTGTGTGTATGTTGTGTGAGGTCTGGAGACGCCCTTAGTTCCCTTCTCCTCACTGGACGTTAGTAAGTGACTCCTGGACGCTGCTCTTGTCAAGGTCCTCCTCGATGACAACACTTGAGAAGATTTTTGGGAATTTGTTTTCACACTGTAAATATTTTTCGAAAGTCCTCGAGAGTTTGTGGTGGCTGGCCGGTAGTTTTTGTTGTCATTTAAAAGTTTCTGACTCTGAGATAAAGTGGAGGGTAGAGTCTGGCGTGGCTTTAATGTCTCTCGTGGAGAAGTTTGGTCTGTGTGAGAGGAAGAGACAAAAACATTTTCCTCTTTACCCGAGTGGCTGTTACCCGTGTGGCTGATACTCGTGTCTTTGGCCGAGTCTTTCAAAGTTCTAATTAGTTTCTTACCTGAGGAAGTCTCTAAACTATTCACATATCCCAGCGACCTGTTCACAGAGTTTGACAAATATTTATCTAAATATTCAAAGTTTTCGCCTTCAGTCACCTCGCCTGGAGTCGTTAATAAAGTAGCGAAGTCTTGTATACCCGAGGTGTCACGTGACCGGGAGAACACAGGTGCTCTTCTGTACCTGTGACGAAGACGCAGGTGTTCGTAAACTTTTCTCACAGGTAACCAGGAGTGTGATTTACCTCGGTAACTGTACCTGACCCGAGACTTGGGGTAATGGCTGTTAAGATGCCACAGTTTGGTTCTGGAACTTCTTGACGTGATCTTCGTGCTGCGTGGAGTGTGTGAAGCCCCTGTGGACGTCTCCCTGATCCGTGGTCTATAAAATGTGGAGGGCGGGATCCTGTCTCTTTCATGTCGTATAAGATGCTGCCGTTCTCCTTCATCATGAGGTCGTGAGCGGTCCAGGTCGCCGCTATAGAGATCCTCTCCCGAGTGTTGCTCAGTCCTCTTATGGTTCTTATGGTCCATTATGCGCGGTTTATGATCTTCTCCTGACAGCGACATGGCCGACGTTTCCACAGGATTATTGACGTTTAATGCTTCATCTTTCTCCTGCCTCACACCTCTCCGCTGGCCCTGGATGTTTATAGACTTATCCTCATCACCTGTTGTCCAAGGCTCATCCTTGTGACTCAGGTAAGATGAAGCTCCGCGGTTGTCTTGTGTTTTGTCGTTATATCTGTTTCCTCCGTCGACGTCTCGCCTGAACCTAGATCGACGACGTGGGCTGGCGTCTGTGTAATAGAGAGCCTCCGTCACGCCTCCTACAGGGTCCCGCGGGTGTCTGGTGAGGGAGTGAGGAGGTTGACTCTGTTCGAGGCGTCTCCAGGAGGCCTGACCGTCCTTCGCCTCGACCTGCACCTTCCACACGCCCTTACCATTGGGTGGGTCACGGTCGAGCGCCTGTAACACCACAACAATACAGAATACATTAATAACAGGATCCTCGACTTTATAAGATTTAAGGATACAATATATTAACTCGCTTCACCGCCATTAAATAATAACACCAGGGGAAAAAAATACATCCTGGCGCGAGGAACCCAAAGGAAAATATCCGTGTTGAATTTATTCCCCGGAAGACATAGGGAAAATTTAATACTCCCAGTAAAAAGAGGGAAAAAACTATATTGTATAAGTGACGGAGAAAATAACTCGTAAAAATGAGAGAGAGAAAATATTAGTTCATTAAATTTACTTAAGAGGAAACATGAAGGATAATGATCACTGATGTTTGATGCTGGAGAGTGATTTGTGGTTTAATGTTGCCCCCCCTCCCGCCTCTCCTCTTCCTTCATCTTCTTTTCTTCCTCCTCTCACCTGAACTCTCCTCTTTCCATCCTTTCTTCCTTCCACGTTCATTCCTTCGCTGGTCACTAAAACTCCTCCTCTTCCTTCATCTTCCTTCTCTCCATATCTCACCGCAGCTCTCAATTCTTCTTTCCCTTCCTTCCTTCCTTCCTTCCTTCCTTCCTTCTTTCCTTCCTTCCTTCCTTCCTTCCTTCCTTCCTTCATTCCTCCTCCTCTTACCATCTTCCTTCCTTCCTTCCTCCATCCATTAATATGTAGATGGGGTGAAGTTTGGGCATAAAAACCAGAGTTGTTAAGATGACGATGGGGAGGGTGGGTAATGGGGGGAGGGTGGTGGATGGGGAGGGTGGGGGGATGGGGGAGGGTGTGGGGATGGGGAGGTGGTGAAGGGAGGGGTGTGGAAGATGGGGAGGGGATGGGGGAGGGTGATGACAGTGGCGGGTGATGATGGTGGAGGGTGATGATGCGGAGGGTAGTGATGATGGTGGAGATGCACTACACAGCTGGTTACATTATGAGGTCAACCACTACTAAGGAACTACCATAACCTACACCATCTGCCCAGTGCTCTGACACACACACACACACACACACACACGTCACCGCATTATCCACACACTCTTAGATGATAGTGAAGATGATATTGACAGGAACTCTCATAGTATGTAAAGTTGTATGATAACATGAACAGGTAAACAACAACATTAACGACAACAACAACAACAACACTATAAACAACAACAACAAATACAACAACGTTAAGTGAGACAAAAACTATAACCACTGACATATACTGATATATAACCCATCTTTAGGCCAACACCAATATCCACTCAGCTCATCTTCCTGAGAGAGAGAGAGAGAGAGAGAGAGAGAGAGAGAGAGAGAGAGAGAGAGAGAAACATACACCGTTCTTACCCTGAGCTGTATTAGTTCGCCGTTGTGGGAGTTGATGGTGAAGTAGGCGTCATTAGGGGCGTATCCGTCCACACCGTCACCTCGTAGCGTGTACAGTAGCCCGTGGGTGTCAAGCTTATCCAAATCATGGGCCTCTACCTGTGAATATGAGGTAAAGGTGAGGTACAGGTGTTATTCAGGTGTTTTAGAGGTGTGTTAGGGATTTTGATATTATTTTATTTCAGTAATAGTGAGGCAACGGCTATTGATATTTAAAGGGATTTATATTGTACACACACACACACACACACACACACACACACACACACACACACACACACACACACCTGACCTTTGCAATAGGCAGTGGGAGGTCACGGTCGTCTTCCTCAATGACTGTGACCTGAGGATTAGGTCTGAGGAAGTAAGGGGCGTTATCGTTGACGTCAGCCACCAGCACCTGTACGAGGGTCTGCACCATCTCGCCTCCCCCTTCTGCTGTCACTACCAACTCGTGCTGTGAGGAGGGAGATAAAGGGAGTCGTCTTAGTGTTGGAGAGAGAGAGTGAGAGAGAGTGAGAGAGTATATATTCTGTGTGATGTATCTCTCTATCTCACTCCTTATCTCTCTCTCTCATCATAAAACATCACACACAGTAACAACAAAGTTTCTCCTCACTTTAAGACAAAATATATATAAGAGACGCCCCAAAAGTGACGCCGTTTGATGGTTGTCTGTCATGAATAATATTGTTTTAACGTCAAGGAGGAAAGTGTTTTGTGATGTTAATGAAGACACTAAACGTTCATACAGATTGGAGGGTGTTTTGACTTACTGGCGATCACAAGGTTGACAATGTGTTGTGCCTTCTTAACTCTAACCAAAAAAAAAAAAAAAATAATAATAATAAAATAAAATAAATAAATAAATAAATAAATAAATAAATAATAATAATAATAATAATAATAATAATAATAATAATAATAATAATAATAATAAACGTCATCTCATACCACTTAATCAAGGTACAATAGGCTAGTTACCGCCTTAAACAATACGACCACTATAAAGTCTACGGTCCTGCCTACCCACATTTCACTTACTATTGTCTCGTATTGATATTGTAAGTAAATATATGCTTTTATCCTTTTAATTTACGATTTTTATGAGAGAGAGAGAGAGAGAGAGAGAGAGAGAGAGAGAGAGAGAGAGAGAGGTTATCTTTAATCTAGAAGGGATGACGGGTTAAACTGATCGACTGTACCATCTACCAGAGTGATCTTGCTTCTACACGCCACTACACCAGGCGGTCTCTCACACCTTGCTGATACGCCCCTGGGTTGGCTGGAAGTTGGCGAGGGTGGGGGAGAGGGGTGTAGGTTGGGGAGAGGAGGAGGATGGGGAGTGGAGGATAGGATGGAGGGAAGGGAGAGGAAGAGTGGAAGGATAGGGAGTGAGGTATGGGAAAGGGGGGAGAGGGAGGAAGAGATTAATGGAGGAAGGAGGGGTAGGTGGTAGTGAAGGAAGAGAGGAGGGAGAGGGGAGGAGAAGGATGGGGAAGGAGGATGGGGGAAAAAGAAAATTCAGATAGAGGTGAACGATGGAGAAAGGGGAGTAGAGAATGGGGTAGAGAGAAAGAAGAGGAGGAGAGGGACGAAGAGAGGGAAGGGAAAAAAGACGAATGTTGAAAGAGATGACGGCAAAGAGAAATAAAGAGAATGAGGATGAAGAGGAGGGGAGATATGAGCCAGAGGGAAGAGAAAATGGGTATAGTGAAACAAGAAGATAACAGAAGCGAGGGAGAGAAAAATAACAAGATACTGAAGAAAGAAAGAACGAAAGAACTAATGGAGGATAAAAGAGGAAAACGGAGAGAGAGAGAGAAATAAAGAGAACTAACGTAGAATAAAAGATGAAAGCATAATTACATCGAGAGAGAGAGAGAGAGAGAGAGAGAGAGAGAGAGAGAGAGAGAGAGTACACTAGCGCTAGGTGTGATGTGTAAAGCTCTCTATAACCGAGTATATAATCGATCCCAAATTATAGGCAGCGATAGGGTGAGTTATTGTGTGGGTTTTTGTTTATTTTTAATGTTTTTAATTTTTTTTAAAGGAAGTTTTAGGGATTTTTTTAAGTTTAAGGCAATTTTAGAGAGTTTTTAAGGTCAATTATGTATTTTTTACTTACCTTAATGAGGGATTTTTAGGTATGGGTAGATGTACCTTTCTTAACGAGGCTCTATTGAAGGATAAAATGTTTTGTACTTATCCTAACGGGGTTCTAAGGTTCAAAGAATTTTAAAGATTTGGTTAGGTTGATAGTTTCAGAAAAGTATATAAACAATTACTTTTGTTTGTAGTTTGAAGAAAGTTGTGGTGGGATCAGAGGAGATGGGCTGGGAGGATAACTTGACTACCCTTTATAGAAACTAATGGAGCGAGAAGTAGAGAGGCAGGCATCACTGTGAGAGCTGTGTTGGTGGTGGTTAATGTTGGTGGTGGTTAATGTTGGTGGTGGTGGTTAATGTTGGTGGTGGTGGTTAATGGTAGTGGTGGTTAATGTTGGTGGTGGTGGTTAATGTTTGTGGTGGTGGTTAATGTTTGTGGTGATGGTTAATGTTGGTGGTGGTTAATGTTTGTTTGTGGTGGTTAATGTTTGTGGTGGTTAATGTTGGTGGTGGTGGTTAATGGTGGTGGTGGTTAATGTTTGTGGTGGTGGTTAATGTTTTTGATGGTTAATGTTGGTGGGAAAGGTTAACGTTCTTGGTGATGGTTAATATGATCTGGTGAAGCCTCTTGAAGCCCTAAAGGAGAATAGAGAGCCAAGGTGAGGGCACTTCAGGGGGAAGACCTCGAATCAGTGATGTGAAAGGTGAGGGGGTGAGGGAAGAGGAGGTGAGGAGAGATGAGTGGAGAGGAGGTAAGGGGTAAAGTGAGAGGAGAAGAGATGAGAGGAGAGGAGGTAAGGGGTGAAGTGAGAGGAGAAGAGATGAGGGGAGAGGAGGTAAGAGGGCAAGATACTGTGAGTAGAGGTGAGGGGGTGGGGGAGGTGGTGACGGGAGTAGAGACGGGGGAGAGAAATTGAAGGGGAGGAGGTGAGGGGAAATGGAGATGATACTGAGGGGAATTTACCTGAGGGGAAAAGACACTAAAGGAGATGAGGTGAGGGAGACGAAGACACTACTGAGGGGGAGTGAATTCGAAGGGGATGTCAGGGGGAGATTTACCTGAGTGTGGAGGGGGAGGGGGGAGATGAGGGGAGAAAGGGAAACGGCAGAGAAAGAGAGAGGGAGAAAGAGAGAGACTAACGAAAAGCCATGAAAATAACAAAAGAGAATAAAACGTTTAGGAGGGAGACAAACGTTGGTAAAGAGAGAGAGAGAGAGAGAGAGAGAGAGAGAGAGAGAGAGAGAGAGAGAAACGTTCCTCTATATAATGTGAGTCACGTCCCGATAACCTGTGGTAAGGGAGCGTGAGTTAGTGTGTTGTAGGATGAGGATAAAATGACCTCCACCTGTCTCTTGTAGTGTGTGTGTGTGTTTGTGTGTGTGTGTGTGTGTGTGTGTGTGTAGGAGGGTGGGGTGTATGGGTGTGTGTGTGTGTGTGTAGGGAGGGTGATGTCTGGGGGAGAGGAGGTGTATGGGGGTGTTTGTGTGTCGGGGTGTGTGTGGGAGGGGGGTAAGACACTGGAATAGATTAGAGGTAGGTAGGTAAGAGGCAGTCAGGTAAGAGGAAGGAGAGTGGCAGGTAAAAGGCAGTCAGGTAAGAGGTAGTCAGGTAAGAGGCAGTCAGGTAAGAGGCAGGTCAGGGAAGGAGAGTGGCAGGTAAAGGTAGTCAGGTAAGAGGCAGACAGGTAAAAGGCAGTCAGGTAAGAGGCAGACAGGTAAAAGGCAGTCAGGTAAGAGGCAGACAGGTAATGATCAGGTGAGAGGCAGGTTGTAGATCAATTATGGTGATGCGCTGGTAAGAGGATGAAGGCCACAGAATCTTCTTGGTCTTACGGAAAAGCGGATTGAAACTTATGCAACGCCACGTCCAGGTAGGTGTGTGTGTGTGTGTGTGTGTGTGTGTGTGTGTGTGTGTGTGTGTAAGGTGACCCAACCTTTGTAACCAGGTGAGAAGGTTGGGTCACCTTACCCTCTGACCTGACTACCGACCGTTGCCGTGCTATTTAAAGATTAGTAGGGTCATTACCTAATACCTGACCATTGTGGACCTGGTCTCACCCTCCTCTGTATATATACACCTTGTTTTGTACTCCTCTTTAGTCTGTACTCACCCCTGAAGATGTGAATTACACGAAAGCGCTTGGGAACTTCGTTTTTTCTTCTTTCCTTGTGGTTATCAGCATATACCTAGATCACGCGCACCTACAGTGATTTACTTGCATATATATATATATATATATATATATATATATATATATATATATATATATATATATATATATATATATATATACACGTAGCCTTCTCCAATGTAAAACGCACACACACACGCAGAGTACTAAGGGTAGAATGATCCCAATAAGCAAGTCAGATCCCCAGAGTCCAACTTCCTTCCCTGAGCTTCAACAGAATCCAACATCCTGTGAGTGGAATTGGAATAGCTGGCTCCAAACCTCGACTCTAAACAGTTTTCTTTTCCCAGGAAGCTCTTGAAGGTCAATAAGAGTAAGTCCCAATATTCCTTCCTGGCTTTTTCCTGGTCGTACCTACACGCATTGAATGGAACCACCTCAAGTAGGAAAAAAGGTGGAGAGAGAGAGAGAGAGAGAGGCCAGGTATACAGGTAGGCTCAGATAACGCACAGGTAGATAGAGACGAACCCAACACCTCCAGTCCATTAAAACAAAAATATCTTTTCAGTATGTTTGTGAGTGTGTGAGAGAGAGAGAGAGAGAGAGTAATCTAATCCTATTACTACGTTCGCTCGTGCTGGCGATGGTACTCTATAAAGGTTTGGTTCATGATCCACTTAGTTTGATTATAATTTCTGGCAGCGTTTGTGAGTTGAGTATTTGGCTTCGCTGTTTATTTACTCAATAATTGTGTAATTTTTGTCCAATTTCTCTAGTAAATGTTTTTTTTATCTTCGAGTATCAACAAACCAGATATTTTTACCAAGTGGGTTAATGTTAGGCTAGGTGAGGTGAGGTGAGGTGAGGTGAGGTGAGGCTATACAAGTCGTATGTGATCCTGGACACAGTACATCACAGGTCAGTCGTGTTTGAGTAAGAGAACAAATCACTTTCTATGTTTGACTAATTTTGACATTGTTGAGGACTGCTGCCCCTCTCTGCTGTGTCTCTCTGCTGTGTCTCTCTGCTGTGTTGGCTGTAATGGCTGTATGTCTACTCTGATGGCTGTTTCTCCCTGCTGTGATGGCTGTCTCTATGCTGTAAGGGCCCTGTCTGTTATGGTGGCCGACTCTGCTGTATGTCTGCTTTCCCTGCTGTGTTGTCTTCCCCTCTCTGCTGTGATCGCTGTCTTTCTGCTGTGACGAACTCCAGATTTT